ACAACTCATGGTTAATTCGACAGTGATATTCCACATCAACGCAGATAGGCCCATAGATCTTTCGGAGAATTTTTCTCTCAATCACTCCCAGATCTGCCTCATCTGCTTGCGTAAGTACCCATGCTTCAGATCCATATAACAGCACGGGTAGCATCAGCGTCTTGTAGAGTGTGAGTTTGGTCTGCCGGGAGGTGGCCTTGTTTTTGAGTTACTTGCTCAGACCATAGTAGCATCTGTTGATCATCACTATCCTTCTCCGAATTTCAAAACTGATGTCATTCGTTTTGTTTATGACGCTACCAAAGTATATACAATCTTTGACTACCTCGAAGTTGTAGTTCTCAAGTTCCACAGTTGGTCCGAGTCTACTTGACGTCTTGGGCGTTGATACCATAAGCTTTGTCTTCTCGCCATTTACTGCCAGACCCACTTTGGCAGATTCCTTTTCAAATTGCTCAAAGGTGGCTGTTACCGCTCTCAATGTTCAACCCATTATGTCGATTTCATCGGCGTAAGCGAGTAACATGTGTTGTTTGGTGTACAGAGTGACATTTCTGTTCACTTCCGCCTCTCGAATGACCTTTTCCAGCAGGATGTTAAAAAAGTCACACGATCGGTATTAAAGGGCTCCGAAAGGTCCTTTCCGACTTTAACTGCTGATCTCGTGTCAGTTAAAGTTAAAGCTGGCATTCCTGCAAAATTAATACGGCTATAATTTTGCAGGAAAGCCAAACGCAGACATGTCTATATACACCGCTGAACGGATAGGGCTATCGAATGCGACTTTATAGTCGACGAATAGGTGGAATGTGTCGATGTATTTTTTTCCACGATTTGGCGCAGAGTGAAAATCTGCTGTGGAATTGCCAGGTCTGAAGCCGAATTGGTATGGTCCAATAATGTCATTGACAATTGGCTTCAGTCGTTCACACAATACGCTGGATAGTACTTTATATTCGATGGGAAGGAGACTTATTCCTCTATAGTTGGCGCATACCGTCTTGTCTCGTTTTTTTTTTTTTTTTTTTTTTTGCACGGGACACAGGATGCTGAGGTTCCAATCTTTTGGGTATGCATATACCATCATCTGTTATTGGTTATGGGGTATCCTCTTCACCGCTACTATTTGATACCAGAAGTTTTTCCAAATGCTCCTTCCAGATCCTCAGCACGCTGTCTGTATCTGTCACCAGGTTTCCTTCTTCATCTCTACAGGAGGATGTGCCTGCACCAAAGCCTTCGGTTTGGTGTTTTATCCGTTGGTAGAATTTTCGGACTTCATTCTGACTCCTGTACATCTCTATTTGCTCACGCTCACGTTTATCTTGCTCTTTCTTCTTTTTTCTGAAAATACGTTTCTCCTCTCTACTTTTCTCCCGATAGTTCTCCATCGCTTTACGTGTTGCTACTGTCCGCAGGTTTGCCCTATACGCTGCGTTTTTCATATCAGTAGCATTACGACACTCCTGATCGTACCACGGATTTCTTGATGGTGGTCTTTGGTACCCAAGTGTTGCTTTTGCTGCAGTTTGTAGGGAGTGGGCAATTCTCTGCCATTGAGCTTCAATATTCAATTTTTCTAGGATCATTTTATTGGGATAAGGGTTGCTTTCGTAAAGCAGTTGGGTAATTTGAGTGGAGTAGGCTTCTGCTATTATTAAAAAAATCCATCGCCATGATTGGTTGGATTTATGGAGCAGATTCAAACTGATTAAAGAAATAACTCTTATTCATACCTTTTCTCTTTTCCTTATTGTACAATATTCATATTATTCTACTTTAACCATTAAATTTGTGTTGTAACATTTGTATAGGTTGAATTTTTAACCATTTTTTTACCCATCCGTATTCAGCTCACGTTGGTTTGAATCTTATTAATTTCATTTTTTATGTGTTTTCTTTATGAATTCAAGATGTTCACTTTCATCCTTATTGACTACATGAAATTATGACTCTTAAACTTAGGTACTTTGGAATCAATACGAACTTCCAAGTTTTGAAAATAAAGTTTTTAGATTTCTAAGATTTGTATTTTATATTAACTACTATGACAAAACCTGCGGAACTATGCGTGGATATTGAACCCCTTAAAGAATTGGAGAGCGGTTGTATTTCATGACCAAGACCAACTCAATATTGAAATTTGAATCAATGAATCCATTTGAATCAAAAGAGAGATACATTGCAAATGTGAATTGAAAACAATTACCTGAAAAGTAAAAAAATAAGAATTTAAGACACATCTAAAAAAATAACACTATTTCCCCTTACCTGTTTATAACTGATGTAGTTAGCATTCCAGCATTATCTGCCCGTAATGTAGAAACCACTTGTAAATTGAATTGAAATTTAAGTCCCGCCGTTGATTCCATAAGACGTTACCATTCCATGTTTTTGTATTTTTCTGTATTTTGTTCTACAAACACATACATAAAAAATTGGAAATAATATATTCCCGGTAATTTATTCCCGTTGACACGACTCCCGACGAATTCCCGTATATTTTTTCGATGTTCCAAGCACCATCGACACTCGAACTGACCGACAATAGAAACCGCGACTTACATTTTACACGAACCGAAAAGTTAAGTTATTGTTACGCCTACCAATACATTCCCGGATAGTTATTTCGAGGCTCCACGCGCAACAGACTCTCGAACCGACCGACAAAACCGCACCGAAAAATTATTCAACCATATTCTACATGACTCGGCCGTTAAATACGTTATGCGACACCATTTTTTCATTTTTCTTCCTTTTATACTTAACATTATGAGCTTCTTTCAATATGACCACATAAAATACACATCATTTTATTCACATCAACGATTTAAATGCTGATATTTTGATAATTTTCACAATTTATTTTAATTTTTATATTTCCAATAAGAAATTTCAACATTTGCTTAACTTTTCATACGGACAAAATCGTTTCTGCACATTCTTCTTCTTACTTTTTGGCGCGTCAATGGGTTTTCGTGTGTTGTCATCTGTGTAGTAACGCCATGTTTATTATTTGACGTTTAATTAGTAAAGCCACCTGGCCACATGTTAAATGAAGCTATTAAGTAGCCCATTGCCCATATGAAATATTGACAGAAGCAAATAAGAAGAATTTTATGAATATATATAAGAAATTTAGGATAAAGAAGCGTGTTTTCTTTGTATCATTATCATTAAATGCTTTCTTTTACTCTTAGGATGGGTCAAATAAATGACAATTGGTGAAATATTGTAAGTAATATCTGAAAGATATATTTTAATGCGTTTTAATGTTTTTGTTTTTTTTTACAGATGGTGTTAAAATCGAGAAAATCATCCGAAATTGTCGTCAACGACAATTTCGCTTACCCTGTCGCCCAAGTTGTCTTGCATGAATGCTGCGACACTTGTGTGAAAATTGTTATCTGCAAAGTGTCTTCAAGGAATTGCCATTGTCTTGCACGATTTGTTAATGTTGTCTGCAAGACGTTATTAAAATAACGTGTATTGTATCAGTGTATTTGTAATAATTAAAAGATTAACTTTAATATATAATAAAACTTTAATATATATAATATATAAAAGATCTTAATGATAAGTGAATCGCGCAGAAGCATGAAATTTTAAGTGATTAGTGGTTTGTTGTTAATGCGTAGACTTGAGCTGAGGCTGTTTTTTTTTTTTTTTTTTTTTTTTTTGGAAATTCGTACTAGAAGGGCACGAAAAGTACTAAATATGGTATCATTTGTATTAGGCAAACGCGAAGAGCTAGAATTTTGAAATTTGGAATATGCGTAGTGATCCACATTCCAATAATTAGGAAGATATACAAAAGGGTTTTTGAAAATTCGTCCTATAAGTGTAGGAAAAGTACAAAACGTTATTAATTTAGTTATAATTGTATATATATATTGAATCTTGACATTTTATGTGGAATATATGGAAAGTGGTGTTGATTTATGGAAATGATTTCAGAAATTCTTACGTATGTGTATGAAAAGTACTAAATGGTACTAAATATGGTACAATATGATTTTGTGTGAACGGTTAGGGCTGAGATCCTGAAATTTGCAGTTGAAATTACTGTTAGAGTTTAAGATTGATGTTGTTTTGCAAATTCGTACATATGGGAAAGTACTAAATTTACTTAATATGAGGTAGGTTGAGGTAGTTTTGAAACTTCGTACTTTACTGGGTACAGAAGGTGCTAAATGGTACTAAATTGTATTTATTTGTTTTGTATTCCCTTTTCCGTATACGAATTAGCGGACACTTCACTAGTTTTTGTATAAATCTTATTGAAATTAACGTGATTTCTAGGTCCTCCACAAGGCGTAGATTTTCTTAAAGATTATTTTTCTAGGTCCTCCACGTGGATTTTTTAAAGATTATTTTCTATGTCCTCCACAGGCGTAGATTTTTTAAAGATTATTTTTCTAGATCCTCTACAAGGTGTAGATTTATCAAAGATTATTTATCTAGGTCCTCCACAAGGGGTAGATTTTTTAAAGATTATTTTTCTAGGCGTAGATTTTTTAAAGATTATTTTTCTAGGTCCTCTACAAGGTGTAGATTTTTCAAAGATTATTTATCTAGGTCCTCCACAAGGGGTAGATTTTTTAAAAATTATTTTTCTAGGTCTTCCACAAGGCGTAGATTTTTAAAAAAGAGATACATATATATTTTGTTATGCAATGATACAAAATTTGTAATTGTACCAATTTATTGTCAAGTATATGTATACAAAAATATATATCTATGTATTTATATATACATATATATATTAACTTAAACACTATTAACAATGAAATGTTTTAAATCAACCATCCAATAGTTATAAAAATAAAAGAAAAACAAATGCAAAAATATAATATTCCCTTAAAAAAGTCAAACTAAATCAATGAAAAAAATTAAAACTTAAAAATAAATTCACATATTTTTTGGTTGATCATCTTAAAAAATAAAATAAAAAAACGAGATGCCAATATCACTTCATTTCATATGAGACCATTTAATTTCTATTTAGCACAGGTTGTTGATTTCATATCCGCAGATGTCAATTGCAAAACAATATCAGCACGAAATGGATTATTCGTCAATAGAAAAAATGGCAATTTCCTTATTGGTTCCGGAACATTATCATAGGTATTTAGAATTGCACATTTATTGAATATAATCCGATCATAGATAAGCTCATAATCGATACCCTTTTCTTTGAGTTCCAATAATTCAGTAAATGTTGGATATTCACCAGATTCAATCATGGCAAACCTATTTCGAAATGAAAACCAAAAAAGAAGAAGGACGGAAACAAAACACATTGAGCTAACAGTTTCTTATGTGGGAGGATAAGAATTGCTAGTTAGTAAATGGAGGTTACAGAATGAAATACATAAAAACTATCTCACGTAGGAAAGTCTTCACGGGGATGATGCGTGCGATGACCATTGTTCTGAAAAAAAAAAACTAAAAATTTAGAAAGATTTCTTTGGGAATTAAATTGTTTTTTTTGGAATACCTTTTCAATTTTGGTTTCCTGCCAATCTTCATTGTAGAGAGCATATTTCATTTCAACCATATTTTTGTTGATTTGCAACACCTCATCATCGTGTGTATCACAGAGGATCATATAGAATACCGAATTCTAAAATGAGAGACAATTTTTAAAATTTCCTTTGGGATCGTAGAAATTATATCAATATTCACCTCTCTATCAATTTCTGTAATTTTGGCATAGAGCATTTTCTCGGATACCAATGATAGGAAATGTATTGTGGCCTCATGGCTCCAGTGTAAACCCCTAGGCTTTATATTCGATAGAGAACCTCTCAGTGCCTGGGCTGGCAATTGTGAAAAACATTGTCCCAAATATTTAATATCACAAATATCAACATCACATACGGTGCCATAATCAATAAATGAAACCTTAATTTTATTATTAACCGGTGCGGCAACAATTTCTGCCCTATGCCACATTTCATTAAAGGCAGCTGCACAAAATTGTCCAGGATTGAGGCATGCAATTGGTATGCGTAATTCTTGTGGCGTCATCGTACCATAATAACGTTCCATTTGATGCATTAGACAATCGAGTTCATGATTCTCTTTGTGTATGTGAAACCAAAAGCGGAAGGGGTTGTGGATCTAAAAATAGAGATATGTTTTAAAATAGTCGTGGAAGGGTCTATTTTTCAAATACAACCTCTGATATAAATATACCCAAGCAGGAGCCAACATCAACATTCTCGGGTATTTCACAGGGTTCAATTTTGCGTCCATAAGGTACAGTGTATTTGGGCAGATCAAGGCGGAAGACATTGCTGGTCTGGAAAAGAGAAAATCAAATGTAATTAGTACCATTATAGAAGCCCTAATGAGATACAGTTTAGGACAGGACCTCTTGTCATTCTGTAAAAAATCTACGCCTTATGGAGGACCTAGAAAAATATTCTTTAAAAAATCTACGCCTTATGGAGGACCTAGAAAAATATTCTTTAAAAAATCTACGCCTTATGGAGGACCTAGAAAAATATTCTTTAAAAAATCTACGCCTTATGGAGGATCCAGAAAAATATTCTTTAAAAAATCTACGACTTGTGGAGTACCTAGAAAAATATTCTTTAAAAAATCTACGACTTGTGGAGTACCTAGAAAAATATTCTTTAAAAAATCTACGCCTTGTGGAGGACCTAGAAAAAGTAATCTTTAAAAAATCTACGCCTTATGGAGGACCTAGAAAAATATTCTTTAAAAAATCTACGCCTTATGGAGGACCTAGAAAAATATTCTTTAAAAAATCTACGCCTTATGGAGGACCTAGAAAAAGTAATCTTTAAAAAATCCTAGAAAAATATTCTTTAAAAAATCTACGCCTTGTGGAGGACCTAGAAAAATAATCTTTAAAAAATCTACGCCTTGTGGAGGACCTAGAAAAATAATCTTTAAAAAATCTACGCCTTGTGGAGGACATAGAAAAATAATCTTTAAAAAAATCCGCTTTTTATGTGCGTTTAGAAAAATAGTTTTGAACATTTTTCGAAACTAGGGGGGACAATATTTCAAAAAAATTGTAAATTTCAAATTCAACATACCGCTGCAAATTCCGGCACCGCCTCATCCAAATCATTGTTGACTATTTCCTCTTCGGTTATATCCAATAGTTTTTGGAATTTATTTGTGACACTATCACACTTCTTGGTTACTTTGGTGGGTGATTTCATTTCCTCGGCCTCTAGTACTTCAACATTTCCAATTTCAGAATTTTCTATTGGATTAAGTTTTTTGGGCGGTGCAGTTGCATTCAATATTCTCTCCATACGTTCCGATAGTTTTATTTTGGGTTTTGGTGGATTAACATTGGTCAAATTGACCCTCGATTCATTGGAATTTTTATCCGCCACAGTAATTTTTATATCATTTTCAATATCCTTTGAAAAAGTGACTTTTCGTGTTGCGGGTGGTGGTTCAGTTGTTATACGACATGAAGAACCCAATAGGCTTTCCAATTGTTTAACATGCTCTTGATATTTCTGATCAACTTCCTTGGGGTTTGGATTTTTTTGAGAATCATTTGTAAGAGATTGGGTAGGATGTGGTTTTACTTCAGCTGGGGTCTTTGGTGTAGTAGGATCCGGATCACTTGCCTCTTGTCCATTATGTGGTACCTGAGGCATTTCATTCTGCTGATCTTTTTTAATATTATTGTCTTCTGTCATATTTCGATTTTGAATTGGCTCTTTTGCCACCCAATTCATCATAGGGGCTTGTGGATATATTTTTGGTTGCATTAAACTTTTCCATTGCTGTACATGCTCTTCATATTTATGAACCATGGCTGAATTATTAATAGCCTGTTGCACTGGATTATACATGGGAACTTGTGGCACTTGTACCGGCGGCCTCCCCTGTGGATGATAACCTCCCATCTGTGACTGATAGCCCAACAATAATTTATTAATATTTCCCCACATATTCAATGCAGCTAATTGTAAAATATTTACCGGCATTTGCATATTTTGTTGTTGTTGCATGGGAACATCTCTAACGGTTAATCGTACTGTGGAAACATTTCTATTGGTAATCTGAAATGGTGACAATTGTTGACCCTGCGCTATACGGCGACCTTGAAAACAAGCCTTATTATTTTGTCTCAGGTTACATTGTTTTGGCGTTGCATTGTTTTTCGATCTTGTCCTGGGTCGAGTTTTCTTTTGGGTCATTATCATTTCATGGATATGAGCCGATTTGTCATTGCCCACAAAATAAACCAAGGCCGATTGGCCACTACCAACAACCTGGAAATATCAAAACACCATAACAATCAGCATTCATTCAATATAGAAATGCAAAATATACTCACAACCAATGTATCCGGGATTTGCCTCAGAAACTGTTCCAATGTTGTATAGCCCAACCGGCGATAGGGTATATTTTGTCCCTCAATTTCACGATAATCTCGATTTAATTTATCAATGGTTATTTTATCGGGACATGATATGACCAGCGATTTAAGTATGGCTTTAACTTGATTTAAATAACCACTATCCATTTTGTTCACATTTGTTTATAGGAAAAAACAATTAATAAAATAACATTAAAAAATATACAATGCAAACGCCGCCAATTGGTTCAATAGAATGATTCACTGATGGTGAACAAGGGAACTAGTGTAGAGGGAGACATGAGATATTGCAATGATATGTGGCGTTCGCAGCAGCCATTAAATTAAAAAAAATGGAATATGTGCTCAATAGTAATACAATTTTTTTTTATTTTTATAGATTGTGGTATATTTATTAATAAATTATTACTGATATTTTTGAACATGCAATGAATTTTGAATAGCTTGTTGTAGAGTGATTCACTACAATGAACAACGGAAATAGTTACAAATAAAAATACAAAGCATGACATTGCATTAACGCGTTGCCAACATGTTAGGTGAAATTGACAAAGCGGAAGTACATTATATTAAGGGGGGCATGGTAATATGAGAAATTGGAAATAAATATATTTTTTAACAAAAAAAAAAAAATTAAAAAGGATTGAAAAAACTATAAAATTATGCTAAAGAATATTAATTTTGATATTGTTTTTTGTTTTCTTTATTTATAGGATATTTAAAGAGTTCGTTGGAGAAAGATAAATAATAAACAATAATGTTAAAAATTAATCATAATTGAGAGAAATCTCCTGAAAGATCAAACCAGTCTCCTCTTATTTGAGTTCTGATTAGAATTTCAGCAACAATATAAGGAAGTCTTTAACAATAGAAGGAAGTATTAACTATGAGCATTTTTAGACAAATAAAACGATTAAGGGGGAGAGACATATGAAGACTTCAGGCATGACATCTGAAGTTGGAATTGTTTAATTGTTTTAATTAAGAAGAAAAAGTTTAATTTTGACTCTTATATTCTTTTATAAATTGACATTTTATACAATGTCAACTAAACATGTCATGCCTAAAATCCTGTCCAACTATATATATATTTTAATGACTTTTTATGCGTGGATTTAAAAACAAAAATATTTTAGTGGGTATTTTAGGCGATAATTTAGTTCAGTTTTTTTTAATATGTTAGTGGATATTTTAGTTGAGAATTTTCCCAAAAATTGTTATAAGTTAGGCGTGGATTTTTTTTTATATCATTTTAGTGGATTTTTTTAATATGTTAGTGGATATTTTAGGCGTGGATTTTTTAAAAATATTTTAGCCTAAACTTTTTTAGTCATTGGCGTGATTAATTTTTAAATATTTCAGGATTGTATTTTTTTAAATATTGGATTTTCTAACTATTCTCTTAGTAACCAATAATATGCGTCGTTTTTTAATGTGGATTTTTTTTAAAATATTTTAGTGATTTTTTAGGCGCATTTGTTTAACTATTCCCTAATTGTTAAACTATGGGCGTTGAATTTGTTAAAAAATGGTTTGTTGGGGCTCAGCCAAAAACCTGGATTTGTTAAAAAATATTTTCATAGGCGTGGATATTTATAAAAAATCAAGGCACTCATGCCCTGAAAAGTTTCTAAGAATTATCTGAATTCTCAGAAAATATATATGAAATAGTTTTTTTCTATAGAAAAATTTCTGAAAACCTTCAAAGTTTATTCTACAGAAATTATTTTCCGAACCATATAGAGTTCTTTTCTATAAGAAAAAATTGTCTAGACCCTTCATGTACTTTTTCACAGGCCTGTTTTTATTATAATAGAAATATTTAGAGCATTACAATATTTTTTTTGCCAAAAAAATGCCTTCCCCTTTTTGATGTAGAAAAAACGTCTGGAAAAAATGTCAGGGCCTTCAGGGCTACTTTTTAATACTAGAGAAACAAATTCTCAGGGTTTTTTTTTATAAAAAGATAAATTCTCAAGACACTCCTGAGTGTCTTGGAAAAAAATCTACGAACCCTCAGTGGTATTTTTCTATACAAATAAATTATACCTATCTGTCTTTAGAACCTTTTTTTTATAGAAAAGTTCACAAGTTTTTGAACAATCAAGTATTTTTTCTATAGAAAATATTTGGGCCGTTTTTTATTTATTTTTTTTTTTTGACAAAACTTTACAAATCACTACATGTCAGCGGAAATGTGTTTAGTTTTTTTATTTAAAATATTATATATAATTATTATTTAATTTATTTGTTTTTAATATATAAAACACATTTTTTTCTCTTCAACCAAATAACTCTTCCCATCTTCCATTTGCCTGTATTTGCGCTCTGTCAACAACTGTTCTCACTTGTCAAAAAAATACAACCATGTAACCGTGTGGTTGGCAACACCACGCGAAGTTGGCTGCCAATAGCTGGCTGTCAATAAATTTTTTGTTTTTTCTTTCTTTTTTGACTTCCTTTTGATTGTGAACCAGCTAAAATGTCTAAGAGAGGTGATTTTCAATAAAAAATTTTAATCTAAGTGAATCCAAACAAAATATAAATGAATAAAGTGAACAAAAAATGAAAATTATAATAAAATTATGTGAAGAATTTAACTAACGTGTTATTTTTGTGCTATTTTTCTACTTTTCTATGTTTTCGCTCGCATTGCAATTTTTTATATGATGTGATGATTGAATGACTGATGAACAGGACGTGGTGGAACTGCGGGAGGAAAATTCCGCATCTCCCTTGGTTTGCCCGTAGGCGCCGTCATGAACTGTGCTGATAATACAGGTGTGTAGATTGGAATTATTTTAATTCTTATTTGTGGAAAGCATGCTAATTTTTTTGATTTTTTTTAGGTGCCAAGAACTTGTATGTCATCGCTGTTCACGGTATCCGTGGTCGTTTGAACCGTTTGCCCGCTGCTGGTGTCGGTGATATGTTTGTCGCTACTGTTAAGAAGGGTAAACCAGAATTGAGAAAGAAGGTAAGTTTTGAAAGTGATTCCACTTCTACTTTGATGGTATTTGGAGGAGAAGTCATGGTTGAAAACAAATAATGGAGACTGAATAGTAGTTTCAAGATGTTATTGGGGTATACTTTTGAATGAATACCAAAAACTAGAATTGTGATTTGATGCCGGCTTGTCAATGGGGCGTGATGAGACAACTAAGAACAGGGGATCAAGGTATTGCGGATAGCCCCAATACCCAACACCCAAAAATAATGGGAGCCTGAAACTTCCGGTCTGACTTCCTGCCTGTAAACTTAATTTTAAACCTGGATTTCTACTTATATTCTCTATGGAGATCAAGGGATAAACTTTAGGTACTGCAGAAAAATATGGACCCGTTTGTAATATGTTTATGGAAATACCAATGTCTTGAATTTAATAACCTGTTGCATTCGATTGCTCAAACCTCGAATAATGAGAAGAAAAGTGGAATTTAACCTACCATGTTTTGAGTCCCATGTCCAGTTTTAGTTGGACTAGTTCAGTTCGGATCATCTGCAGGGAGTAATGATTTTGATAATTTAATTTGAACACCATCTGATTTTAGTCACCTACCAAATCGTATAAATAAAAAAGCACAGCATCTGCTAATCAAAACCAAATTGATTACAAATTCTGGGCTATATCTCAGACAGGTGAATCTAATATGTCTTTAAAATACATTCTTTGCTTCCTCATATGACTTCGATTGGAAAATATAGAGCTTCACATAGACTTGTCTTGCACGTGATTATGATTCGGCACCAGACCCATCACAAGAGAGTTGGACAACAACATGTTTAGTGTGAATAGACATCGATGGTTTATTTTTTTCCACGCTACATATCCTTCGATATCAGGCGAAGTTATATACTACCCTTCCACAAATCCAGAATTATTGGTATTTTTTCTATAAAAAAGTAGACCCTGTGGAGAACACGGAATCAACCACAATGAGAAGACCATGAATTTTTTCTATAGAAACAATCGACCACGAATCAGGCACGGGGAAAAAATAGCCGCAATTTGGCTACGAAATTTTTCTGTTTTTTTTTTTTAAATTTTTTTCTATCAAAAAATTGCTCTTTAGAAAAATTGCCCCTGAGATTTTTCTGTTTTTTTTTAAATTTTTTTCCATCAAAAAATCGCTCGTAGACCCTTTTTTGACAAAAAAAATATCCCCTATGGGGACCGTGAATTATTTCAATATAAAATTTTTCCTATAGAAAAATTTGCCCCTAATGGGACCAGAAATTTTTGTCCATGTTGGAGCAACAATTTTTTTTTATAAAAAATCGACCCTTTTTCTTGGGGTCAATTTTTGGTGGTGCTTGGTGGCACCACGATTGTTTTGTTTAGAAAAATTGCCCCTGAGCTCAGAACCTTTTATTTTCCATAAAAAATGCACCTATAGACAAATATTTAAAAATATAGTCGTAGAAAAATATTTTTTCTCTAGAATTTTTTTTTTTTACTATGGAAAAAAATTTTTGTATAGAAAAATATTTTTTCTATAGAAAAAAATTTTTGTTTGTAAATTTTTTTATAGAAAAATATTTTTTCTGTAGAAAAAATGCCCCAGAGGGCTCCTCCGCAAAAGAAAAATAGTTCCCGGAGATATGTCATATGTGACAAAAAGTCTCTGATAGGACCACGAATTGTTTGTGTCGACATGTCCAGAATTCCAGTGAAGTCCCAAAATTGAATTTATGCAGATTTTTTTATAAAGCTCAAGTAGATGATGTTCTCACAAAAACTTCTTGGATAACAGCGAACTTCAATTAGTTTCCTCTCAACTAAATCGCTTATGACTTCTTTTTATCCACCAACCATTTACAGCATTTCAATCATAACTCAATACTCTTCACAACAACAACAAAATACTAATTTTTTCTATTTTATTTTGCTTTTCTTTCCAGGTAATGCCAGCTGTCGTCATTCGTCAAAGAAAACCATTCAGAAGGAGGGATGGCGTTTTTCTCTATTTTGAGGATAATGCGGGGGTGATAGTAAATAATAAGGGTGAAATGAAAGGTTCAGCTATCACCGGTCCCGTTGCTAAGGAATGCGCTGATTTGTGGCCCCGTATTGCATCAAACGCCAGTTCAATTGCTTAAATAAAACCCCCCAAAAATTTATTTTTGCTTTTATAATAAAATGTAGGAGACCACACAAAGAACTAAAAAAAAACTATTTTAAATTGTTTTATTTATTATTTTTATTTGTAATTTTTTGAATCCTTTTAGGAGAGTGTATTTTTTGTTTGTCATCAGCGCTCATCAATCAATCTCAAAATCTCATCTTCTTACAAACTAAAATTACAAAGTTAGTTGGTATGGAGATTAGGTTTCGTTGCTTCTTTTTTTGTTTGTTTGTTACTTTTGGATTAGTTTATTAATAGGATTATACAGAGTTTGCTGCTGTTGCCATGCGCTTGTTGTCGCTTTCTTACTTCTTGGCCTCTGTGCGAACTGTGGGCTTTGGTCGAGTCACCTCCAATGAGATTTTACCAGTTGCTCCCTTGAACAAGGCAAAGCATACCTCAAATGTACAACCTTCTAGGGATTCATTGTTGAATTTGGTGATAATATCGCCGCGTTGTAGTTTATTATCAATATCCGCATAGCCCGCAGAGGTCTGGAGCAGGGATATAAGGAATAGTTTTTAAATTTTAAAATAGTTATTGGATAATTACTTACGATTTCCGAAATTGTGCATCCTTTTTCATTGGGTGCCAGCGACAGTCCAATATCTTTTCCCGCCTTTCTATTGAATTCCACCTTAAAGGTTTCCAGTTCTGGTGGATCGGCCCGATATACTTGTAGGGTGAGCAGATTTTCGTAACATGTATGGAATGCCTGATGGACCTTGAGTGTTGTCATCGATGTACAATCCATTTGTTTGCCCTGCACCTCAATAATGTGATCATAGATCTGCAAACGATTATCGGCCGCAATGGCACCGTCCGGATAGATGTGTGTTATAACACAGCCAGTCTGGAAACAAAAACAAAAATTTAATATTTTAGAATAAATAGGTCTTATATAGCCACAATATCTATTAGTCCTTGAGAGGACCACAACTAATTTTTTGTGTAATTCGATCTTTGTTACATTTACCAAAAAATTCGTCGATAATGAACATATATTCGACCTTTCACATAATGCTAATTTTCTCATATAAAACATAAGTATTTATATGTTTTCTCATTATGGAATAAAACTTTATAATTCCCTCGAACCATCTGTGCAAAATTTATAAAAATCGGTTAATTAGTCACTGAATTATTTGCATTTAAAGTCAACGATGTTCCGAATTACGCCTACTGTTCGGTGCTGGGCACCTGTTACCGTAAAATGAAAAACCACACAAAAATGGATGTTTTGAAAACGGCAATTTTTCGCTTTCATAATGGGCTGCTGGTTTGTAAACAAAAATTGTAGCATACTTTTAGGCGAAACACAATATCTGTCAATGTAGGGTAGGTCTGGAACATCGTTGACTTCAAATGCGAATAACTCAGCGACTACTTAACCGATTTTCATAAATTTTGCAGAAATGGTTCAAGGGAATTCCAAAGTTTTATTCCATATTGGCAATAGAATATAAACCAAAGAAACATGGGGTCAAAAACGAATATTTCGATAAGGCTCATTTTTGCCGTAGCAATGTTTATGTACCCTTATTAGACATACGGGACTGAGGGAATAAAAAAGGCTGCCACGATTTTGGCTATAGAAATAACTAGTCCTCCAAATTTTTCACTAACAAAAAATGTCCTGAAGGGAACTCAATTTTTTTTCTATAGAAAATATGTTTTTTAGATGTTTTTTCCATAGAAAAAATAGACTCCGAGAGGACCTCGAATTTTTTCTATAAAAAATAGACCCCGTGGGAATCCCATTTTTTTAAAGAAAAAATAAGGACATTAGGGGATAACGAATTTCTTCCCGTAGAAAACAGTGTGTTTAAAAGTTTAAAAATTATTTTTTCGGGCCTCAATATAGGCAGGGATTTTTTTTAAATATTTTTTCAATCTAGGCATGGTTTTCTAAAAATATTTTTTTCAGGTCTCAATCTAGGAGTGGATTTTTGAAGAATATTTTTTAAATATTTTTAGGAGACCTCAATCTAGGTGTCAATTTTTTTAATTGAATTTTTTTTAAATATTTTTTAACTTTTTTTTAAATTATTTTTTAAGCCCTCAAAAAAGTCGTAGATTTTTTAAAAAATATTTTTTTCGGGCCTCAATCTGGGTTTAAATCTTGATTTACACCAGCTGAATAAGGTTTAGTATGGAAAATCTGCAATTTAGCTTAGCTGAATAAGGTTTCCTATCGAAAATCATTAATTCTACTCTGCTGAATGAGATTTCCTATGGAAAATCTGCAATTTTGCTTAGCTGAATAGGGTTTCCAATAAAAATCTTCTCTAGAAATCTTGATTTAGACCAGCTGAATAGGGTTTAGTGTGGAAAATCTGCAATGTAGCTTAGCTGAATAAGGGTTAAATGAAGAAATCATCAATTCTGCTCAGCTGAATAAGGTTTAATATGGGAACTCTTCAATTCTTCTGAGCTGAATAAGGTTTCTCATTAAAAATCTTCAATTCAGCTCAGCTGTATATGGTTTTCTATAGAAACTCTTTAATTTGGCATAGCTGAATAAGGTTTAATATGGCAATTTTTCAATTCAGCTCAGCTGAATAAGGTTTTCTGTGGGAAATCATCAATTCAGCTCAAGGTTTAATATGGGAACTCTTCAATTCTTCTGAGCTGAATAAGGTTTCTCATTAAAAATTGTCAATTCAGCTCAGCTTTATATGGATTTCTATAGAAACTCTTTAATTTGGCATAGCTGAATAAGTTTAATATGGCAATTTTTCAATTGAGCTCAGCTGAATAAGGTTTTCTGTGGGAAATCATCAATTCAGCTCAGCGGAAAAAACTTTAATATAAGAAGAAAGTTTAATATGGGAACTCTTCAATTCTACTGAGCTGAATAAGGTTTCCCAATTAAAATCTTCAATTCAGCTCAGCTGAATATGGTTTTCTGTAGAAACTTTTTAATTTGGCATAGCTGAATAAGGTTTAATATGGATTGTTTTCAATTTAGCTAAGCTGAATAAGGTTTGCTGTGGGAAATCTTCAATTCAGCTCAGCTGAAAAAACTTTAATATAAGAAACCTTCAAATCAGGTGTAATATGGAAAATCTTTAATTCAGCATTGCTGAATAGAGTGTTAAATTCTGTTTGGACATTCCCATCTTCTCTTCTTACCTTAACATGATTATTTTTGCCACCGACCACAATTACACCCAATGGCTTCTTCTCCACCTTCAATTCAATGACCATTTTGGTGTTCGGTTTCACTGGGGCTGTGGCTGGGTCAATCTTTTCCGGTTCCTTTGGTTTCTCCTCCTCTTTCTTTTCGTCTTTTTTCTCTTCGGGTTTCAGGGTCAAGACACACAGATTGACAACACCTTCGGCGCGTTTCAACAGAGCAACGGCCTAAAATTATGCAATTTTTTTGCTAAAAACATAGAGATGGTAGATAGGGATCTGCACACATTACCTCATCATAGGTGGATTCCAGAGTTACATCCTTGTTGACGGCCAATAGCATGTCACCAACTTTAATGCCGGCCTAGAGAAAATCGAAGTTTAGTACTTTTTTGGGGTACACAGGGAAATTTTCCTTTCAAAACTTACCTCCTCAGCATTGGAACCCTCACGTAAATCGGATATGAAAATACCATTACCCACTTCTACGTGTTTACCATAGATAATCATAATACCGATAAAGCCCTCCTTTTTGACAGCCACCGTTCGGGCTTTGGGGAATTGTTCGAACAAGAATTTGGTCTGAAATGAAAAGGGAAATATTAAAAATAGTTTGGAAACATATACTAGGTGCCTTACATCATCAATTTTCGGTGGAAATTGTTTGACCGGCTTCACACTCATACCATCATCACTGGGCTTGCGACGCGATGTTATCAGCACAATCCGCTCGGAGACGATATTTTTGAAGACAACCGAAGCATTTAAATGGCAACGATTTTTCAGCACAACACCATTAACTTCGACAATTTCATCACCTGGCTTAATGTCCAGCTGGGCGACTAGACCCTCGGGATCTACGCCGGCTACGAAGCAAGCCATTTTCTGACGATCTACATGACCAGCCAAGGCCATACCCAGGGGTGTATTTGCGGGTCTATTCACTTCTACACGTCGCACATCCTTTAACATGTTATAACGTTTGTTGATTTTAGCTGTGCATCGGAAGAAAAGAATGAGGTTAGGTTCATTTTTATATTTAGAGGTTAGATTATTTTTTTCTTTTGAGGTTACAACTCGGGATGAAAATAAAAATGTGCTCATCTTTATGGAGGCCACTTTCTCCTTACTCACCCATTGTATAGCCAAATTCATCTTCCGTTTCCTTATCACGAGCCTTTTCTGCATTATTTAGTTTACAATTACCGGCCGATGCACGATCGATCTAAAAACAACAATAATTTGTATTTCAAAATATTTAAAAACTCCATCTCCCCCCCCAACTCACCTCAACACCCGCCTCTGTCCTAATACGACCGGTCATATCACGTTCATCCTCCTCATCATCATCACCACCGCCGCCTCCACCACCTCCAGTTGGCCCGCTAGATATTGTCGCCGAATAATTGGTATTTTTCAACATTGAATTAACATTTGGCGGTTTTGGAGCCGGAGCCTGTTTCAATTTTATCGATTGATTGAATTTATTCTTATTCGCAGCAAATCCATTTTCCACCGGCTTATTTGAATCACCACCCTTATCCTGGTCCACAGATTGTACCTCCAAGTTGATGACAGTGCCGGCATCTTTGATAAGCATAATGACTTCGGGTTCGGTGGCATTTCGTACATCGTTACCGTTTATCGATAATATGCGATCGCCAACCTAGGCAGAATAGAAAATTAGTATCGATCTGTTTTATATTTCTTAAAAATAAATAAAAAATTGTCGTACCTTTAATTTGCCACATAATTGTGCCGGAGTATCCGGTACTATGCCCTTAATGAAAATGCCATTTGTCTTGGTGCCTTTGATCTGAAATATAAAAATATGAAAATTTCATAATTTATTTTAAAAATATTAAATTATATTGGGTATTATTGTAAGTACTTACCTCACCCCTTATTATGCTGATGCCGAATGATTTCTTTCCAGTTTTATCTAAAGCTACTGTAAAAACTGAAAATATAAAACAAATAGTAATTAAATAATATTTACATATGTTACGGAGTGTATGTGCCGCGAGTTCACCCATAAGAACTATAAAAAATGGGTTGAGGCGTCGGCTTAGTTGGCCACACTCGGAAAACCCCCCTACTAAGAAAAAGCAAAGAAAGTTGACGACCCCCGCAAACGTATAAAGGACCACGATCTGCGAATCTGCACTTCGAATGTGCGCACGTTGTACAGGCGAATGGACTCAAGAAGTACAAAGCCGATATTATTGCCTTACAGAAAATGCGATGAAAAGGGATTGGCGTAAGTAAATCAGTTGATTACGCCCTGTATTATAGCTACCATGACACGAGACATGAATTTGGCTGCGGATTTATGGTTAACAGGGGAATAAAAAACCTCGTCTCCAGTTGCACTCCAGAAGATGAGCGCGAATTGCTATAATCCATATAAAAGCGAAGTTCTTCTATGTTCCGACCGAAGATAAAAATAACCAAAGACATATTTTACGAGCGCTTAGAAACAGCATATGATCGTTTCCCTGCCCATGATGACATTAAAATTCTGCTAGAAGATTTTAATGAAAAAATCGGAAGGGAAAATATATTTGGCCCCACCGTCGGAAAATTCAACCTCCATGAAGAAACGTCAGACAGCGGCATGAGGTTGATTGAATTCGTGGCAGCAAAAAACATGGTACTTAGACGCACCAGATTCAAGCATCTCGATATACACAAGGCCACTTAGATTTCTCCCGATCGAAAAACGAGAAATCAAATCGATCATGTTGTGTTAGACGGAAGGCATTCGCCCAGTGTTTTAGACGTTCGATCGATTCGAGGATCGAATATCGATTCGGACCACTACCTTGTAGCAGCCAAGGTTCCCACCCGTCTAAATGTAGCAGCAACGGTGCGATCTAATGTAACACGGAAATTTGACGTCGAAAATCTGCAAACACAACAGATAGCAGAAGCCTACTCCACTCAACTTACCCAACTGCTTGACGAAAGCACCCCTTGCCCCGATAATAATATAGAAGCACAGTGGCTGAGAATTGCCCACTCCCTACAAACTGCAGCAAAAGCAACACTTGGGTACCAAAGAACACCATCAAGAAATTCGTGGTACGTTCAGGACTTTCGTAATGCTACTGAAAAACGCAGGGTATAGGGCAACCCTGTGGACAGTAGCAACACGTGCGATGGAGAACTATCGGGAAAAAGGAGAGAGGAGTATAGTCAGAAAAATGAAGAAAGAACAAGAAAAATGTGAGCGTAAGTAAATCGAGATGTACAGGAATCAGAATGAAGTCTGAAAATTCTACCGACGGCAAACCGAAGGCTTTCGTGCAGGCACATCCTCCTGTAGAGATGAAGAATGAAATCTGGTGACAGATACTGGCAGCGTGCTGTGGATCTGGAAGGAGTATTTTGAAAAACTTCTGGTATCAAATAGTAGCGATGAAGAGGATACCCTAGAACGGTATAGCGTGTATACCACCTAGCCAAGATGAAGTCAGAATAGCAATCAATCGGCTGAAGAATAATAAAGCCGAACTATTCAAGACTGGTGGTCAGATGCTGGTCAGGAGCATGCACCAGCTGATTAGTACAATTTGGCTAGAAGAATGCATTCCCAATGAGTGGAACCTCAGCATCTGTGCCCCGTGCACAAAAAAGGGGACAAGACGATATGTGCCAACTATAGAGGAATAAGTCTCCTTCACATCGCATATAAAGTGCTATCCAGCGAACGACTGAAGCCAATGGTCAATGACATTATTGGACCATACCAATGTGACTTAAGACCTGGCAAATCCACCATTGACCAGATTTTAACTCTGCGCCAAATCCTGGAAAAAACCCACGAAAAACACATCGACACCTACCACCTATTCGTCGACTATAAAGTCGCATTCGACAGCCCTATCCATTCAGAGGTGTATAAAGTCATGTCTGCGTTTGGCATTTCTGCAAAATTAATACGACTATGCAGGATAACATTAACAGGCACAAGATCAGCAGTTAAAGTCGGAAAGGACCTCTCGGAGCCCTTTAATACCGAACAAGGATTCAGAAAAGGTGGCAGTTTGTCGTGTGACCCGTTTAACAAAAGTGAACGCCTGGAAATCTTTTTTTTTTAGCTCAGATTATGGAACGATAGTTCTGTCACAAGCCAGCTAAGTAAGTAAGTAATCACTGTAGGGGTATAGTATTAGGGTCAGAATTCAGTTTAAGAAATTAATACTTATGGGTACTAAATTTGGTACAATTTGAATATTTGGATGAACCAATAGAGCTAGAATCATGTAATTTGGAGTCGGAATCACTGTTGAGGTATAAGATTGAGATATGTAGGAAGTTTTGGAAATTTGTACTATTGAGTACTAAATTTGGTACAATTTAAATTGTGGGTGAACCGATCTTGGATTTAAGATCACTGTGGGAGTGTAGGTTTGGGGTATGTAGGAAGTTTTGGAAATTCGTAGTACTGTGTTCTAAATTTGGTACAATTGAAATTGTTGCTGAACCGATATAATTGGAATCCAGGAACTTGGATTTAAGATCACTGTGGGGGTGAAGTTTCGGGGTTTCTAAGAAGTTTTGGAAATTGTACTAAATTTGGTACAATTTTAATTCTGGGTGAACCGATAGAGTTGGAATCCTGAAATTTGAATTTGGAATAATTGTGGGGGCGAAGGTTTGGGGTATTTAGGAAGTTTTGTTGGATGGTGGGTTCTCTTGGAAATTATGCGTGCTGCATAATGGGACACCAAAGTCCTTGTATATCTTTCGATTTGCATGAAATTTGGAATAGAATACTGAATTAGGTCCGGAATGGTGTGTGCTGAGTTTCGTTCAAATCGGTTCAGATTTAGCTATAGCTCCCATATATATTTTCGTCCGATTTGAGGTAAATGGGCCACCAAAGTCCCTATATATCTTTCGATTTGCATGAAATTTGGCATAGTGTACTGAATTAAGTCCGCAATGGTGTGTGCTGAGTTTCGAAAAAATCGGTTCAGATTTAGATATAGTTCCCAAATATATATTTTCGTCCGATTTAAGGTAAATGTGACTCCAAAATCCCTGTATAGCATTCTATTTGTATGATATTCGGCATAGCGTTATGAATTAGGTCTAGAATGATGTGTGTTAAGTTTCCTGAATATCGGTCCAGATTTCGATACAGCTCCCATATATCCCATAAGTCCCTGTATATTTTTCGATTTGCATGAAATTTGGCATAGAATACTGAATTAGATCGAGAATGATGTGTGCTAAGTCTCATGAAAATCGGTTCAGATTTAGATATAACTCCCATATATAGTTTTGTCCGATTTTATGTAAATGGTGCACCAAAGTCCCTATATATCTTTCGATTTCAACGAAATTTGGTATAGCGTATTGAATTGAGTCTAGAACGATGTGTGTCAAGTTTCGAGAAAATCGGTTCAGATTTAGATATAGCTCCCATATTTATTTTCGTCCGATTTTAGGTAAATAGTGCACCAAAGTCCCTTTATATTCTTCGATTTGCACGAAATTTTGCATAGCGTATTGAATTAAGTCTAGAATGATGTGTGGTAAGTTTCGAGAAAATCGGTTCAAATTTCGTTATAGTTCCCACATATACATATACATACGATTTTACATAAATGTAAATAAATTTAGCATAGGTTGCAGGAAGACATGAGCATGTTCCCTCGAGGGCACATTTATATGCAATTGTAAGGATACATATATACAATATACCTCAAGTGGTGAAGGGTATCATAATGGTTTTTTATGACGAATAATGGACGCGGTTCCAATATAGGCATGAATTTTTTTATAAAATGTTTGCTTAAATCCAGGCGTGATTTTTTTTTAAATTATTTTTTTTTCAAGTCTCAATCGAGGCTTGGATTTTTTGGAATTTAAAAAAAATGGATTTTAAGTTTTTTTTTTAGGCAAAATCACGCCCCAATATAGGTGTGGATTTTTTTTTCAAAATATTTTTTTTTTTTTGCTCGGCATTGCAAACCATCATGTTTTGTTTTGTAATCCATATTCTCGTACTTGTGTAGGGTTTCGTTCGTTATTCAATTTCTTATAAGCCGTGTCGTGATTATGGAGGCGAACATGTTTGCAGCCATGTTCTGTACACGGGATGTTATGGACTATCGATTATCGAGGTAATTATATTTATCATATAAAACTATTTTTATTTTTTATTTGCGATTTTTAGTTTCACATATTTTGAGTTTAGATATTGAATATTCATTTTTGAAGCTTCACTTTTTTATTTAAAAATCACAGTTAATTGTTATATAATCCCGCATTTTAATTAGTTTAGCTTTGCACAAAATTGAAAAAAAAATCGATAAAACTCACCACCACCCCCTGAATTTAATTGCACCATTTTTTCGTTTTTGAAGTCGTTAATTCAAAATTGAATTTTTATTTCTTTATTCTTTTTTTCAAAATATCACTTTCACGGCCAACTATTATTTTTTTAATCGAAGCAGCGATAAGATTTATTGATGGATTTCCCTGAAAAACTGTCCTCTAATACTGTAGGGAAAATCCCATGAGGAAGAAGAATGAATGGCTAAATGGCTAAGACCACGATCCGTTTCCGATGAAGTTCGTTAGCAAACTAATTTGCATTTAGACTAGCCACTGGCAGAGGCGACTAACTGACTTAGTGATGGTGGCCAGACTATGAAACGGCTAGAAGCAGCAGCAGCAGAATATCGATTGTTGTTGTTCCTCTTCTTGTTGTTGTTGATAATTATCTCTTGGAATAGTGAGACAACCGACAGACAGACAGCCAATGGCTATAAGTTCCATGTTTTTTGCCATTCCATGGCAAATGGCCGACTGGAAGGTTATTTAAGTTATTTGGTAATCGAATTGAATGATTTTTTTTTTAGATAATTGATTAAATTTAAAAAAAAAAATCGAAATGAAAATTTCTTTGAGACGAGAAAAAGGAAAGTGCGTTAGGTTTCTGGT